AAAAAAGAGGGGGATTGCAATGAGTTTCACATCTAAGAAAATTTGACCAATTTTTATTTGTTTAATAAATATTTGAAAATAAAATCCGTCCAAATTGTCTAAGAAAACGATTAAATTTAATTTTTAAAGATTCACATGTGTTTTTTTTTTTTAAATTACTACTAATAGTAAGTCAAATATATTTATTTTTTTGTCAAACTTACTATAAAGATATTTTTTCAAAACACATTTTTGTATAGATTATAGATTCTCACACACAGTCGTGTGAATACTATGGGTTGTCATCTCATTGGATTCAGTTAGGCGACTGTTTAGTTATTTTTGGTTGTTATTCAGATGTAATTATGTGTTTTTTATAAACTCCTGTCGTTTGGTCAAAAGAAAAAATATTTACTTTTATTATCCTCGACTCCTATTCTCATTCCGATTTCATGCATCCTAATCAGCCGACGGCGGCTGGAAAATTAGTTGTGGATGTTGTCTCAGCGAATGGGTCAGAGGGTAAGATGAGTGAGTGGGACTCATTTGGGCATAAACAAAGGAAATATTGGGCCCCACAGGAAAAAAGATGAAAGAAAAGTCGTGACATTTGGATTTTATATATTCCTTGTTCACAAGCAGATTTATCAGGTCAAATGGCCCAAGAACTGAAGCTGTTCAGGACATGGTCAAGTCCGTATGCTTTGAGGGTTGTACAGGCGCTCAAGATCAAAGGCTTAGAATACGAAACAGTGTTTGAGGATCTGAAAAACAAGAGTGCTTCACTCCTAGAGTACAACCCCGTACACGAGAAAGTACCTGTTCTTGTGCACAATGGAAAACCCATTTGTGAGTCACTTGTGATTCTTGAATATGTTGATGAGGTGTGGAAGCAGTTCCCTCTCCTCCCCCGAGATCCTTATGACAGAGCCATGGCTCGGTTTTGGGCGAAATTCGGTGAAGATAAGGTAACACACAATCATTTCATCTCGAATTTTATGTTCATTTTGATTGCTGTTCCAAGTCAATGATCGATTAGTCATGTATGATTTTGTCAAATTTTGATAATCGGGGGATCAAGGGTGCAGTCTCACATAGTGAGTCGCACCTAAGAGGAATGAGTCTAGTTGCATCTTAGTACGCTTTTATCCCAAAACCAATTAATGACGGGAGGAGTAGCCCACTAGTGTTATAAACTAGACTCATTTACTCTATCATATCAATGTATCAATGTGGGACAACTCACAAGTCATACTCCAACATATTTCACTTGCAATTCTTGTTTCTTCTGACTCACATCTATCTACTTGCACCTCTAATTCAATAAATCACTTCATTTAAAAGTTTTGTCCCTGGAAAGCAGGTTTTACTATCAATATGGGGTGTTTTCATCTCCAAAAGAAAAGATCTAGAAGAAGCAATAGGTCAAGCCATTGAGAACCTGAAATTCTTGGAAAATCAGCTCGAGGGGAAGAAATTCTTCGGGGGGCAGACGATCGGTTATCTGGATATTGCCCTGGGTTGGATGGCCAATTTAATCAGCATCTTGGAAGAAATAGCCGACCTGAAATTAGTAGATCCTGAGATATTTCCACTTTTATCGGCATGGATGACTGACTTCGCGGATGATCCGGTCATAAAAGAATGCTGGCCACCTCGTGACAAGATGGTCGAGAAATTCAAAGCCATGCGCGAGCCATATCTCGAGAAATCTGAGTGAAGAAAAGCATATTTAAAAATTTCATTCTCTATTCCAAGTAGTGATATAGAAAATAAAATTCTAGATGACGAGGCTCACGAGATGGTTTGAGTAGTTCATTTCTATTTCAGGTTTTGTTGGTTCAAGCATCTTGTGGAATTTAATATCTGTAGTAAAGATGGGATAGTGAAAATGTTTATGGAATTCGCAACTATCATCAGTGACAAACTCAGAAAGGAGAAGTTGGGCATATTGTTTAATCTCAAATGAGGTGTTTTATGTGACTACAGAATAGTCATCCAGAGTCCTATAGCGCAACGACCATTATATGATATTTGTGTTTAGGAAAATGTCACCTCTGGTGCAGGGACCCCAAATGCCTGGCCAAATTCTATAAGTGGACGGCTTGTGAGACACAATCTTAGACACTTGGTGCCGGTTTCAAATTATGACCTGCACCAAAGATACCAAAGGTCAGCTAAACTGGTTCAGTTTTCTAAAACAAAGATTTCTGTAATGTCGAAGGCTAAAGAGAAACATAAGTAAACTAACTTGAACCAAATGAATGCCACAGTTTCATAAATGGAGATCCTTAAACTCATCTGAGTAACCAACACAGCTACTAGCTCAGAAATGATTAATCAATTCAATAATAAAAATGCAAGAAAAATATCACCTAACAAAGTTAATAGGAGATGAAACGCAGTCTGACCTACCCCTATACGATGTTTGGGTTCCGTCGTGATTTTACAAATGAAAATCAGTAAATCACTTTTCTGACTTCATTATGTCATAGTGATTATTTAGGACCTACTATGGATTAGATGTTGCAAAAGGGAATCCCCACAGCTACACATTCCATCCTTAAATAGCTAAATAATTCAAACATATTACTAGCATTTCCCTATGCATAAATTTCGAAAAATTATTTTTGGGACTGACCTGAAGATTCTTAGTAACCACCAGATGAGCACCGGGTTTCATTTGTAATGAGCAGAAAGCTATGGCAAGCCTCTCTCTATTCTCGCAAAGAATGTCTGACATCTCAATCTTCGTCAACATCATGCAACATACATTAGCAGACAGCAGTATATTCATCTTCGGTCATCAAACCAGGTAGCAAATCCAAATAAACCAACTTCTTTGTTCTTTAAAGAAAATATCATTTGCTCCGAAAATGGTACACCTAATTTTCAATCTACAGCCAACTACAACCGGGGTCTTTCTTCAGTCCTTTAGCTTCTAAAGATGTTCTTATCTTCCTTGCCTGATCCCATTTTCCCAAGGCAGCAAACACATTTGAGGCCAAAACATGATACCCCGGATCATCCGAATTTAGCTCAAGAACACGTCTTGATACACGTTCCACAATTTCCGTATCCCCACTTTCTCGGCAAGCGCTAAGTAGGACACCCCATATACTCACGTCGGGCTTCAAAGGCATGGAGAGAATAAATTGCTCAGCTTCCGTTAAAAGGCCCGAACGTGAAAGAAGATCAACCATGCAAGCGTAATGTTCAAGCCTCGGCTTCATATTGTAGTCTTTCCCCATTTGCTCAAAGCAAGCCCAGCATTCTTGCACCAATCCCGAGTGGCTGCATGCGTACATGACGGCAATAAAGATAATGTGATCAGGAATAATACCGGCCTTCTTCATATTCTCAAAAGCATCAAGAGCTTTTCTTCCTTCACCATACATCCCGTATGCAGATATCATTGCTGTCCATGAAACCAAGTCCTTTTCTTTCATTTGCTCAAATACCAATATTGAGCTCCTTAAACTGCCAGTTTTTGAGTACATTTCAACCAAAGCATTCCCAATTGCAATATTTGACTCACAACCCAATTTTAATATGCATCCGTGCATCTCTTTCCCTTGACGCTCAGCAATGAGAAAGGAACACAAAGGCAGCGCACTTAAGAATGTAGGGACATCTGGCATTATCCCCTCCATTTTCATCCTGCTAAGCATTCTCAAACCAAGACTAAAATTCTCAGTTTGACCACAAGAACCAATTATAGAGTTCCATGCCACAGTATCTCGATTTTTCATGTTCTCAAATTGTTTTAGTGAATTTTCTATTTTTCCGCACTTGGCATATGCGTCTAAAAGTGCATTGCCGACAATTTGAGTGGAATCAAAACCTTGCTTTATAACATCACAGTGTATTTCCTGTGTTAGTTTTTCTTTAGGTAGCACCGCACAAATAGAAAGAAGTGTCACGTATGTCACAAAATCAGGTTGAACAGTTATTCTCATCCTCAAAAAGAGATCCAGGGCTTCTTGATAGAAACAGTTTTCAGTATATCCAGTAAGAAGGGAGTTATAGGACACCAAATCCTGGCTTGTCATGCTCTCAAACACTTTCCTAGCACGTAACACATCACCACATTTTGCATACATGTTAATGATTATATTATTCGCTATAATATCATACCCATATCCATTGCTAACCAAGTATTCATGGACAATTGTTCCCAACTTCAAGTTTCGAATGTAGGTACAAGCACGGAGAACGGATGTGATCGTCAAAATATCTGGTTTAAACATGCTAACCATTTTCAAAAAGAAATTAATGGACTCTTCATATAAGCCGGATTCATAATATCCACAAATCATGGTATTCCAAGTAACACTATCACTAAGAACCATCTCGTTGAAAACCTTCCAACAATCGTGTAACATCTCGAACTTAAAATACATTGAGAGCAGTGCATTACCTAGAGTCACATATCCACATGTTCCAACTTTCTTAGCCAAACCATGAACGATCTGGCCTTGTTTCACCTCTTCCAGACCACCACAAGAGAGCAAAACACTCGACAGCGAAAAAGAATCAGGGACCAAACCATCCATCCTCAACCAAGAATAAATACCCAATGCCTCCTTAAAGAATCCATTGGAAGTGTACCCGGAAATCAAACTATTCCACGAAACAATATCTCTTTGAGGCATCCTATCAAACACTTCTCGAGCACGCTGCAAATCATTGCATCGCGAGTACATATCGATCAACGAATTGTTTATATACACATCCAATTCGAAACCCAATTCCACAACATGCTCATGAACCACTCTCCCTTTCTCATAATCCTTCAAACTCCCACAAGCATTGATAACCGAAGGAAATGTGTACTTGTCGGGCCTCACGGCTAATTTTCTCATTCCCTCGTAGAATTCAATTGCCTTTGTGTTTAGCCCATTGTGAGTCATTGCCCTAATGATCGTGTTCCACAAGTACGCGTTGTCTATTCGCGAACTTTCTCGAAAAACCAGCAAAGAAGAATTCGGATCTGTCAGCTGGGCGTATTTGGAGATCAATTTTCCCGAGAAAAACAGGGACTCGTGTAAGCCGTAGGTGATGATGAGGCAGTGGAGTTTCTGAAGATCTCTTCTGTTGGCTGATGAAGACAATGCTTTTGAGAGTATGGTATAAATGTCCCTGCTTCTACAGACCTTCATTTGGTAGGAGTCGAGCTTCGAGTTTCTGAGTCGAAGACTGACTGCTTCACAAATTCTATATCAATTTCTATCTATCAATTAAGTCGCATCATAATAGCCTAGAACCCCGTCTCTCTCTCCCCGAAAAAACAAGAAAACCCCTTTCCCTTCCAAAACTTGATTTCCGCCGCCGCCTCCTCCACCTAGGCCTTCAGAGGCGTTTGGACGCCGACCGAACCGAGCGGAGCTCCCCGTTCGGAGTCGACGACCCTCCTCGTTGTAGAGATTCGCCGCTCCGCCAGTTGTCTATGAGTTGGGGGATGCTCGGCGGCTCTCGAGTTGCGGGAGTTCGGCTGGCTTCGGCCTTCTCCGATGAGTTGGTCGGAGTTGGGTGTGGCCTCCTTTCCCCTCTTCTCCGATGTCCCCTGTGCAGGTTCTGTTTTTATCGGGAGGATTGGGGGTTGATTGTTGATGAAATAATTTGTTCAAGAGCTATTTTAATTAATCATAGTTAATTTTAAAAAATGTGTTATGATTAAATGTTAGTGGAATTTTAAGAATGTATTAAAATAATATTTAAAATAAAATAATTAGAATTGATTTAACGTAAAAGTAAAAGATAAATGACTGAAAATGATAGGTAGTTAAAATTATGTGACTGAATGAATAATGAATTAAAGTTGATGTGATGTGTAAGAATGATTGCTTTGTATTATTTAATTATATGAATAATATTAAAGTTAGTTGAATTGAGTTAAAGTTGAATTAAATTTTGAGTTAAGATAAAAGTGACTAAATTAATTCATATACAATCAAACCCTCAGCGTGAGGGTGTTGTTCGTGGTTGACTTGGGTCTGACACATGGCCACGGGCTGGCCAGGCCTGGCCCACAACTGGCTTATAGGTTACCGGTTCCGAGAATCGGCACCGTGGCTTCACGTATCAGTTCTGAGTCCCTTTTTTTTTGGGTCCCGACAGCCGGGACAGGGTCGAGACTGGGCCGGTTCGCTGAACCGGCCCTTGATTTTTGGGGGGCCGGCTAAGGGTCACCCATGGGAGGCCAGCGGCCCCGGGCCGTGACTCGGCCCGTTAACTGGCCACCTCTAGGTCCGAGGGGTTAGGGGCGATGCTCCAGTTACTGTGCTAGAAGTGGCTGTTTGGGCAAAGAATTTGGTCAGAAGACGAGTCCAGCTAGCCTCTTGCAGGAGTTTTTTGGTTCTTCTTTCGGGTTGGGTTCCTTTCCTTTTGGGGAGTTGTGCCCTGGTGTCGGGTCGTCGTTTGCAGAGCTGATTGTTCGCCTGTTGGACGAGGGCGTTACTCTAATTTATCTAGTGTTTGTGTGTTGCTTGCGTGTTTTTTTAGTAGATTTGTTATTCTTTTGGTTGTTTCTTCTTTTTGGAAGGCTGAAAATCTTATGTAGGAGCTCGTTTTCTCCTATGTTGGAGTTTGTAGGTTGTGTGTTTAGTCTGTTTGTTTAGTGATTTGTTAAAGTAGTTCTAGTGTCTACTTTGTGTAGGGCTCTCTCTAGATCTGCCTAGATGATTATTTGGCTTATTTTAGTTTTTTTTTTTCTAGTTGTAATTATGTGTGTTTTCTATAAAACCTATTGTTTCCGAAAAAAAAATATCTATCTATCAATTAATACTTTTATAAATGAAAAATAATTTTATAAACAAATGTACTGATAAAAAAAAATTCTTGTTTATATTATATTTTAATTGTACAAATGTAATAATAATTAAGTAATAAGCAACCCACAATAATAGGATTCAAAACAAAAAAATGTTCTAATCCTGCCTACTAGTACAACACCCGTGTAAAAAATTAATCGTACAACAAAAAGTAAAAAATAAAATAAAATTGTTATTGTGAATTAAAAAATTAGATTTTTTGTTCAGAGCTCATATAAATTGTCATAATATTATCAACTTTCTCTCATAATCTGATCTATCGCATATGAATAATAATTTTGTGAGACAAGAAATATTAGTTTACTAACCAAAGGCAAAATTACTATAACATATATGTGTGGATTATTTGAATGACACTGGAAACCAGATGCTTGCGATTACGTAGCGCGTTCGTTAATTATTTGCATTATAAAGAGCAAAAAATCTGATATTTGCACAACTCATAAAGACAAAGAATAATGCCCCAAATGTCACATTAACTGGTCAATATTATAATCTCAATCAAAAAATATCATGTCTAATTTGGAACTGAATTCACCATTAATAAAACTATAAAACTGGTCTATATAACTAGTTCCTCACATATCTAATCCAAGAAACAAAAACAAAAGCAAAAACATGGGCAGTACCAAGCCAGTCCTCCTCATCACACTCGCAGCACTACTGCTAATCTCCCTCGTCCCAATGTCCCAATGCCGCAAGCGGCAGGCCCACGGCTTCACGACCAACCTAATCCACCGCGACTCCTCCGAGTCCCCATACTACGACCCCACCCTATCCCCCGAACAGCGTCTTGTAAACGCCATCCGCAGATCGCTGGCCCGCGCCCAGCACCTAGATTCGAAGCGGGCTCGCCTCCATTCCTCCACCGCGGAACTCTTC